ACCCTGACCTGGAGCCAAGGCCCCAGGAGGAGGACTCTCCAGCTCCCGTCCCTGGTGAGGGCTGTGCTCCCAGGACTGCTGTGCAGAGTCGGTGTTGTTGTGGGTGATGTTCTCAGGGCTCAGAATATCCCAATTTAACCTAGGACACCTCAGGTCATCTGCATGTTCTAGAGGCTGAAAACTTCACACTCACTTCACGGGCAATATTAGGAAGGAGTAGTCCTATGACCCATGACCACGCTCAGTGGGAATTTGTGTGTCTGTGTCCTCATCCTTGTTTGAGGACGTGTGTCCCTGCCATGGCCCTGACCCCTGTGCACTCAGAGCGCTTGCAGTGAGGGACCAGCCCCACAGGACACAGTCCTCACCGTGAGCCAGCCTTTAATGTCACAGAGAAATCTTCACCTTTAATCAGTGTGTTCCCCCAACTCTGCCACCACTGGTATTCACACACTCACCTGTCACACAGACATGCACACCCACACACTTGCAAACACACACACCTGTCACACAGAGACATGCACACTCATAGAGTTACAAACACACACATTACACTCACTCACACACAAACATGCACAGAACACACTCACTCACATACACACTCACACACACTCACACACGCATACACACACACTCGCACACTCACACACAAAAAATACACTCACATGCACACACACACAGACACCTGTCACAAGACATGCACACACTCACACACTCACATACACACTCACACACACACATGCATACATGCACTCACATGCACACAGACACACACTCACACTCACACTCACATGCCCACTCCCACTCACTCACACACTCACACACACACATACACACACTCACAGGCACACAGACACAGTCACACACAAACATGCACAAAACATACTCAGACACTCACATACACACACACACATGCACACACTTATACACTCCTAAACTGACATGCACACAACACAGACTCTCACATACACACTCACACACACTCACAGACATATACACATGTACTTCTCAAGGCCTCATTGACTTGTCTATTCTCAACAGGACCCAGTATTAAATTTCACCAGTCCTTGTCCCGCTAGTTACTGTTTTCTGTGAAAAGAGAAGACTCTGTCTCTGAGTCTCCCCAGCCCCCTCCCCACATGCTCCTGGGCAGCAGCCCTGCAGTGGGATCCTGGGCACCCCCTGTCTGGGCTCACAGGGCATCCTAGTAGTGTTTCTAGTCTGGTATGAAATGGCTGTGTTCTACGTTCAGAGTATTCTTCTAGACACAGCATGTGCTTATAAGTTGTCTCTAGAAATAGCTTCAATAAACATACACTCTCTGGAGAGAGACCCAAGGAAGAAATTTATGAGAACACCTGGACGTCACCTCCCTGAGTCTGTAGCTGCACTGATGCAGCTGACACTCACAGTGAGTCCAGAGGCTCTCGAGGACTTGGGGTCTCTTTGCTTCGTGGACTCCCCGGGGGCTAACATTGTGTCACACGATAGCTGCACGCAGAAGCATGGGGCTTGATGCCCACTCCACCTACCGTTCCACTCCTGAGTTCCCCTGTTCTTGCAGCACCTGGACCCTGCAGGGGCCGCACAAGAAGGTGCCAGACTAGCCCCCTTGTCAGAAACCAGTGCAGTCGCCCCCTGGCAACTCACAGCACAAACGCCTGAGGGTCTCTAGTGCCCATCAGTCGTGTCTGACCCTTTGAGACCCCACGGACTGTAGCCCACCAGACTCCTCTGTCCATGGGATTCTCCAGGCAGGAACACTGGAGTGGGTTGCTACAACAGCACCCTGCAGAGAAGCTAGGTCAGCCATGTGCATGTCCCTGGCAGGACATCTCTTCACAAGGATGGCCTCAAGGTTCATCCATCCTCAGACTCCATCCTGCTGCTCACCATCCATCCTGACCACCTGCCCAAGGACCTCAGGACCTGGAGTCAGTGGGGAGACAGACCCACTGCTGAGTCAGATACATCTCCTCCAGCAGAACCCTGTGACAAAGCTGCTTCTTTCACCTTTTCTGAGTCTCTGATGGAAACTTCATAAATATTCCTGAGCTCGTCAGATACCCAGAGCTGGAGAGGGTTTCTGGCCAATTCAATCAGGCAGGAGAGAGTACGGGTCTGAGGCCAGCAGTGAGGTGCTCCGAGCCTGGTCTCCAGCCTAGGCACCAGAGCCTCAGTGCCCTGCCTTGGATGTTGTTTGGCTGTGGTCTCTGCACACTAGCTCCCCTCCTCAAAGAGGATGCAGATCATAGCTCTGCCAGGTCCCTGGGGGTCACATGTGGGTAGAGGCTTCCTGCATTGTTGAGGTTGAACACCCACAACTCTAGGAGCAGGGTCTGGGCTGTGAGCGTCACCAGGGTCTCCAGTGTTGGCCCATCCCCATCCTACTCCCTCCTGGGCTGTAGTGCCCTGGTCCAGTGCCTTCTCTTAGCCATGAAATCTGCCCCCTCTGTAGGTCTGCAGTGGAGAAGAACTTCTGTTCATCTCCTAGGGGGAAGAGCTCTTCTATGGAGGGTCTGCCTGATGCACCTTCTGGGTAGGTGTTAGCATTTCCCAATGTTGGTCTTCCCTTCGTCAGGTGTCCTGAGGGATAAATATGAACACTCTCCTTGAGGACCTGGATGTTTGTGGAGTTATATCCCACAAACCATGGAGTGTGGTCCCCAGGATCTCTCATCCTCACACTGGTTATTGCTGGTCCTCTAGGAACTGGTAGGAATTACCCTGAAGGTGTGCCTCCTGAAGCTTCACATCCGTGGGCCAGTCTCACCTGGACTGTGGATTGCCCACCTCTCTGGTTTTGTGCTGGGAGATTCCCTTGAAACGTTAGGACTCTGTTAGGTCCAGGGAAAGTTTTGATGTTGAGAATTTCCTTTCTTTAAAGATGGACATGACAGGTTTCATACACACTACCTCTTGATGCAGAAACCAGCAGGTACCAGCTGAGGGTGTCCTTGAATTGAGAGTAGAAGGAGAAATCGAATGTCACTAAGAGTGAGAGGAGCCTGGACAGGCTTGACTAACATGAAAGACAGGGGTGAAGGACGCAGCAGGGCACTTACACTTAGGCTCAGATTCCAAAGCTCTGCCAAGAGGCTGGAATTCAGAAAGCACCACGGTGAGGAGATTGTCACGTCCCTGGTGACCCAGTGCTAGTCTTCTGACAAAACATCTCATGGGGATTCCTGGTTCCAGAGGAAATTTCAGAGGAGCCATTCCCCTCCTCCCTGCCCCTTTCCACGTCTGCATGTGACCGGGAAATGCAGTCATCACGCCCGTACATGTGGGTCCCCTGGGGGAGGGGCTGACAGGTGGGTGTGCTTGTGGACGGGGGTTCACTCTCTCTAGGTCCATGAACTGCTGACTTCACCAAGCCTGGAACACCCACATCTGGGCTCCTTGTTTCATTAGCTTGTGATCTTTCTCATTGTTTGGACTTCCTCGATAGATCAGTTTAATCTTCCCTGATAGCATGCTGCTTGGAAGAAAAGCTATGACCAACCTAGACACCATATTAAAAAGCAGAGACTTTACTTTGCTGATCAAATTCTGTCTAGTGAAATCTATGATTTTTCCAGTAGTCATGTATGGATATGAGAATTGGCATATAAAGAAAGCTGAGCATTGAAGTATTGATGCTTTTGAACTGTGGGGGTGGAGAAGACTGTTGAGAGTCCCTTGGGATGCAAGGAGATCAAACCAGTCTATCCTAAAGGAAATCAGTCCTGAACATTCATTGGAAGGACTGATGCTTAAGCTGAAGCTCCAGTACTTTGGCCACCTGATTTGAAGAACTGACTCATTGGAAAAGACCCTGATGCTGGAAAAGATTGAAGATAAGAGGAAAAGTGGATGATAGAGGATGAGATGGTTGGATGGCATCACCGACTGATGGACATAAGCTTGAGTAAGTTCCGGGAGCTGTAGATGGACAGGGAAGTCTGGCATGCTGCAGTCCATGGGGTTGTGAAGGGTCAGCCATGACTGAGCGACTAAACTGATAGCTCAGTTGGTAAAGAATCATCCTGCATTGCAGGAGACCCCGGTTCGATTCCTGGGTCTGGAAGATCTGCTGGAGAAGGGATAGGCTACCCACTCCAGTATACCTGGGATTCCCTTGTCGCTCGGCTGGTAAAGAATCTGCCTGCACTTCGGGAAACCTGGGTTTGATCCGTGGGTTGGGAAGATCCCCTGCAGAAGGGAAATGCTACTCACTCCGGTATTCTTCCTTGGAGAATTCTGTGGACTGTACATAGTCCACGGGGTCGGAAAGAGTTGAATACTACTGAGCGACTTTCGCTTTCTCATTGTTAGGAGGAGGGCATGCAAACCCACTTTTGCCTGGAAATTCTCATGGACAGAGGCGCCTAATGGGCTACAGTCCATTGGGTGGTAAAGAGTCGGACATGACAGAAGTGACTAGCATGCACGCATTAGGACAAAAGTGATTTAAAAATCAGTAAGTTCCATGAGCTAAAGGGTAGCGTTTGTTCCATGAGACAGTCAGGAGACATGGCTGAACACCAAGAGGGTGCTCACAATGGCTTCTTTATTCATCAGGGAATATTCTGTATATTCCTTAGATGTATTGTGCTCTCTTGTTGAAAGACGAGTCCGCGTATAAACTTCTGGGGGATCATACCTTAAAAATAAAACTGAGGATATCAAGTAGGGATTGTTTTTACTAGTAAAAGCTTTCCTTTAGTATGTGGCCTCTATCTAACGTAGAACTGCCCAAATGACAGAATCTACTGCACCTACTAGAGCCTATCAGTTAGAGAAGGGAAGAATGCCCCGTTGGTGCTCAAAGAGCTGACACCTCACTAATAGCACTATTCATAGTTTCTCCATGGAAATTCAGTGGGACCTGAACCTCAGGTTGATATAAAAGGTGAGTTTGAAGACATCACAGACATAGATGCAGGAACACAGGTGACACAATCTTTTCACCTTCCTGCATCTCTGCGTGGTGTCAGCAGACTCAACTTCTATCTCAGGCTGGCGTGGAGGTCCTGCTGCGTCTCCATGGAGAGAACTGTGGCTGGTGCTGTGAGTGAAGTGTCAGTTCAGTTCGCACCACCAAGGTGGTGGTGTTGGGGGGGGGGTTTCTTCCTGGCTCTGGGTTTACACACCTCTGTTGTCTGAGCCCAGCATGCACTTACACGGCTGACCGCTGGCTAGCTCTTTCCCTGGCCCTGCTGTGCTGAGCCACACTGCTGAGTCACGCAGAGCCTCTCCTGTGGACTCAGCCAGCTTACACCAAATGTCCGGAGAACAGACATAAGTGACAAGAGGAAGCAACCCTAAGAGACTGTGCCTTTCGTGCAGTGAGGATGTGGTCTCCTCTCCCAACACACCATTCTGCCTCAGAGGCTGAGTAGGCACCTACAGCGTCATGAACGCAGAGACGTTCCCCAGGAAAACTGCTACAAGGAGAGGAAGCCCCAGGTCCTGACAGCAGACCAGCTGTCAACCACCATCTGCTCCTGCACCTGCACAACACCACTGTGTGTCCCCAGCACCCGCTCGTGGTCATGGAGGCCCCCGGAGGGTGACTTGGGTCTGGGCTCACACTGACTTCCCCTCACTGTGTCTCTTGCAGAGTGACACACGGCCGTGTCCTCAGTGGTCACAGGGCTCAGCTGCAGGGAGAACTGGTTCTTGGATGTGTCCCTGCAGATGGAGGTGTGGTTCTTGATGGAGGGGCTGTAGTGAGTGTCACCATTATAATATATGCACCGCATCCATGCTAGCCTCTTTGCTGGGGCCTGGTGGATCCAGTTCCCACCATAACCACTGGTGATGAAGTAACCAGAGATGGCGCAGGTGAAGGAGAGGGTCAGTGAGGGCTTCAGCAGTTCTGGGCCCGACTCCTGCAGCTGCACTGGGACGGGACACCTGGGAACAAGGAGAGTCAGTCCCTGTCAGTGACCTGCAGTCACAACCATCCCCACAGACCAGTGCCTGAACCTGAGACCCTCACCTTGGGGAGCTGTCACCAGGCAGAGAAGACCCCACAGCCTCATCTTCTGTACCACAGCTCTGCCTTCCATGAGACCTCAGCCTTGTGTGAGCAGAGAGGGTTGAGCTCCCACCACCCAGGGGTGGATTTTCCCCTGGAGCTTGAAGAGAAATTTGCATTGAGGAGCTCTATCCCTGTGAGTCCAGAGAGGCTGTGGTCACACTCACCCTGGTCATCCCAGGATCCCCATGGGCACTCTATGAATTTACATGGTTGGAAAGCAAGGGTGGGAAAACACTGGGTCTACCAGATGGCTTGGAACCAGATCCAAGGGCAGGTCCCCCTGTCTGAGCCCAGAGTCTCCATCCCGACGGCCCCCTGCCCCTCCCCATCTCAGCTCAGCTCCTCGTCCTCTCAGGCCGTGGGTCTTCCTCAGGGCTGAGCCCAGCACAGCCCCTGCTTCCTTACTCTGCACCAGTGACGGCCACTGTGATGGGAGTGGGCACAGAGGGTGGTGGGCTCCATGCTCACCCCACGGACAAATCCTGCTGAGGAGCTCTGTATCTCCCCTTATGAATGATCCGGACAGAAGCTCAGAATGGGGTGTGGGCTTCAGGTAGGTAACAGTTTTGAAATGAACGTCAGAGTCAAGTGTTTTACTGAGTTCCTTAGAAAGGAGAAAAATGAAGGAGAAAAAAATTTAGCTGCTGACTATTACGTTTGTGTGTTTGTGTGTGTGTGTTTGCATAAAGCTATCCTTACTTCAAGGAAAAATTAAAATATATATACACACACAGTTGTCAGAGAGTGACATAAACCACAGCAATGAAATCTCAGGACACGTGAGAGGGTCTGTGGCTTAGCTCCTGGGCAGGAGCAGTAAAGAGCAGGTTCTGAAGAGAATCCCCTCCAGGCCGTCCAGCCCCCAACGCCTCTTCCGCCCCTGCTCCTGGGCTCGGCTTTCTACCGAGTCCCGAGCGCCCCCTGGTGGTCCTGGGCGCCCATGCAGGGAGGTTTTTGTCTGGGCTCGCTCTGACTTCCCCTCACTGTGTCTCTTGCACAGTAATACACGGCCGTGTCCTCAGGTGTCACGCTGCTCAGTGAGAGGGAGACTTGGCTCTTGGAGGTGTCGCTGGTGATGCTGAGCCGGGATTTCAGGGCTGGGTTATAGCTTCCACTATAACCTATTGCACCAACCCACTCCAGCGCCTTCCCTGGAGCCTGGCGGACCCAGCCTACACTATTGCTGCTTAGTGAGAATCCAGAGACAGCGCAGGTGAGGGAGAGGGTCTGTGAGGGCTTCACCAGGCTGGGTCCCGACTCCCGCAGCTGCACCTGGGACAGGACCCCTGTGGACAGAGAGAACACGGTGACTCACGGGCTCAGATGCAGCTTCCCCACGTGCCCATGTCTGATCCAGAGACACTCACCGCTGGGAGCTGACAGCAGGAAGAGGAAGGTCCACAGTGGGCTCATCTTCGAGCAGATGAGAGTCACCGCTCCCGGAAATCTCTTCAAGCCTGAGGAGGAGCCTGAATTTAAGTGACCTGGTGCTTTGTTTCCACCCTGTGACCTGAGTGGATCTTTGCATGTGGGAGGGGCCTCTGCATAAAAAGCAGAAGGTAGTGAAGGGAGGTCCCTGTCTCTGGGGCTCCCCCTGTGAAAGGGGGTGCTGACTGTGCCTTCAGAGAACTCAGCCGCCCCTGGGGCCCCCCTCCCCTTACCTGGGGTCTTCTGTGTCCAGAAATGAAAGGATGTGGAAGCTGGTCAGGAAAAAAGATGTGGTCAAATATCAAGCATAGGTTTTGGGAAGAGAGTGATTGCATGGAGGTTCATCTCTTGTCAAATACACACTGCAGATCAAGGTCTGCATAGTTGTCAGAACTCTCATTTATCGTTCTTTTCTGCACTGGCTTATGTTCATGAACAGGATATTAAAACATTGGAGCGAAAATGTATGTGATAATTGCATTTAATTCAAAGAAAACTCAGTACAATTTAAATTTTATCAAAACTCAAAAATGGTTTATTATTTCCCTTAGCTGGTGAGACCATTTCTTCATCTGAACAGTTTAAAATCAAGAGCTGCTCTGGAGGTGGTGTTGTTCATATGTACTAACCCTGCAGTTAATTTTGTGGACAAAGTAGACGTTTCTGCTGAGACGCTCATCTTCCCAGGATGGCTGACTTGCCCAGTGGGCTGTCCCACATTTTCTTGTGCACAACTGAGTGTCTGCAGGAGCCTGTGAACCTCAGGACCCCCAGCCTGAGTGTGGACACTGAGGACCCCAAGGCTACTGCAGACGAGGTCAGACAGCGCCCGGGAGCTCCTAGTGCTCCAACATGCTGGGCAGGTGCCCTGGTCACTCTGCACAGACTCCCTCCTTCTCCAAGTGCTTAATTCTTCCTCTCTGTGTCCCTGCCGTGAGATGGGAGCTCAGGGAACATAGTCCCCACCACAGTGGTGAGAGGACACGTATGGTTCGTGGAGGTAAACCTTCACAGTGAACGGCGTGCAGTGTGAGGGCAGCATGATCAGAGGAAAGCCCCTCCTCAGGAAGCAGGTTCCCTTGAAAACCCCACTGAGAGCAGCTTTCCCGAGCCCAGGGTCTCCGTGTCCTGGACTGAGCCTGAGGTCCTCTGAGTCAGCAGTGCTGGAGAGCAGAGCACAGCTCCCCCGTCTCCCTGTGGCCCTGAGGCTGTGGCCTCGCACCTGCATCCCGGCTGTGAGCATGGAGACTGGGGATGACGGCCGTCACCGCGCGTCTGGACTTTACACTGGGGTTTCCGGGGGTGGTGAGTGCTGCCATCAGTGGTGTTATCTCTCCTGGAGCCAGAAACTACCACCGTCTCTCCACATCTCTGACTAACACCCTGTATATGCAACCCATTCCTCTCTGGCCCTGAGATATCACCCATGTGGGTCTGGAGCAGGTCAGCTCTCCCTAAACCCAAAGTTCTCACCTGTACACTGACTGGGTTACAACCTGTTGAATATGAAACACCCTTTCTAGTCAGGGTTTTGCTATTGCTGTTTTGCACCAGGACAACTTCTGTGCCTGATCCTGTTTCCTGCCACCTGATCTTGCTTTTGGGAGTGGGTTCACCTAACTGGGTCTGTGACCTTTGTGGGGGTCAGGCCTCCAAGAGGTTTGAGATTTGTCTGATACATGGCAAGGGGGAGACTCTTGAGGATGATTACAGGATGGTGGGCCTCTGGTCTCCAGGTCACTGAGCTTCTGATGTGTCCTCATTCCTTGGCTCAACACCTTCTTCCAGCTTCAGAGTCAGTCTTCAGGTGTCTTGTGTTGCATCACCCTAACAGGCATTCCTATCTCAAGCTTCAATTTCTAAGAATCCTGTAACTGCATTGGGCCTTCCTGAATAATCCAGTAAACTTTTCCATCTCAAGAGCCTGAAGGACTCTAGACTGCATTCCCAAACCCATTGCAGTCTGTCAACTATGGGCTTGTTATGTTTAAGGCATTAGAAGGAGAGTGCCGAAATAATGGAGAAGACTCTCGAGAGTCCCTTGGACTTCAAGGAGAGCAAATCAGTCAATCCTAAAGGAAATCAACACCTAATATTCTTTGGAGACCCTTATTCTGGGAAAGACTGAAGGCAGGAATAGAAGGGGCCAGGATGGAATGGGGTGCCTGACAGATGATGGGATGGTGGGATGGCATCACCAGCTCAATAGACACGAGTTTGAGCAATCTCCGGAGTTGGTGATAGACAGACAGTCTGGTGTGGTGCAGTCACTGGGGTTGCAAAGAGTCGGACATGACTGAATGACTTAACTGACCTGAACTGAGAGAACATTCCATTAAAAATGGAAGAATACTCAAAAAGTGCACTCAAATCATTGTCCAGTGTAGACGACATCTTGGGTAAATCAAACTTCAGTGAATTTAAGAAAACTGAAGGTTTATTGAACAACTTTTTCTACCACAATGATATGAGATTAGATCAGTTACAGAGAAAAAAAAATAAACAAACACAGGGAGGCTAAAAAATATGCCACTAAATAATCAATGAAAGGGAAAATAAAGGACAGAAATGGTACCGACCTAAAAGAAGCAGAAGATATTAAGAAGAGGTGACAAGAATACACAGAAGAACTAAGCAAAAATTATCTTAATGAGATGGATAACCTCGATAGTGTGATCACTCACCTAGAACCAGATATCCTAGATGGCAAAGTCAAGTGGGCCTTAGGAAGCATCACTACAAACAAAGCTAGTGGAGGTGATGCAATTCCCACTAAACTATTTCAAATTCTAAAAGATGATGCTGTTAACGTGCTGCACTCCATATGTCAGCCAATTTGGAAAATTCAGCAGTGACCACAGGACTGGGAAACATAAATTTTCATTCCAATCCCAAAGAAAGGCAATGCCAAAGAATGTTTGAACTACCACACAATTGCACTCATTTCACATGTGAGCAAGGTAATACTCAAAATCCTTCAAACTAGTCTTCAAGAGTATGTGAACAGAGAACTTCAGATATACGAGCTGGGTTAAGGGAAGACAGAGGAACCAGAGATCAAATTGCCAACATGTATTGGATCATAGAAAAAGCAAGGGAATTCCAAGTAAACATCTACTTCTGCTTCATTGACTATGTTAACTCTTTGACAGTGTGGATCACAAGAAACTGTGGAAAATTCTTTAAGAGATGGGAATACCAGACAATTTACCTGCCTACTGTGAAATCTGTATGCAGGTCAAGAAACAACCGTTAGAATTTTACATGGAACAACAGACTGGTCCAAAATTGGGAAAAGAGTATGTGAAGGTGTCACTCTGCCTTTTTAACTCATACAGAATACATCATGCAAAATGCCAGGCTGGATGAAGCATAAGCTGGAATCAAAACTACCAGAAAAAATGTCAATAAGTTCAGATATACAGGTGACATTTCCCCCTATGGCAGAAAGTGAAAAGGAACTAAAGAGCCTCTTGATGAAGGTGAAAGAGGTGAGTGAAAAAATTGGCTTAAAAACTCAACATTCAAAAAACTAAATTTGCGACATTGAGTCCAGTGATCCTTCATGGCAGATGGGTTAGGAAACAAAGGAAACAGTGACAGAATTTATTTTCTTGGGCTCTAAAATCACTGCAGGTGGTGACTGCAACCATGAAATTAAAAGATACTTGCTCCTAAAAAAAAAAACAATGACAGCATATTAAAAGCAGAGACATTACTTTGCTGACAAAGGTCTGTCTAGTTAAAGCTATTATTTTTCCAGTAGTCATGTATGGATGTGAGAGCTGGACCATAAACAAGGCTGAGCACCAAAGAATTGATGCTTTTGAATGTGGTGCTGGAGAAGACTCCTGAGAGTCCCTTGGACAGCAAGGAGATCAAACCAGTAAATCCTAAAGGAAATCAACCCTAAATATTCATTAGATAGACTGATGTTGAGCTGAAACTCCAATATTTTGGTCTCCTGATGTGAAGACTGACTCATTAGAGAAGACTTTGATGCTGGGAAAGATAGGAGGCAGGAGGACAAAGGGACAACAGAGGACACAATGATTGATTGTCATCTATGACTCAATGTATATGAGCTTGAGCAAGCTCCTGGAGATGGTGAAGGACAGGGAAGGGAAGTCTGTCGAGCTACAGTCCATGGAGCTGCAAAGAGTCAGATACAACTGAGTGACTGAAAGACAATATAACCAAGACTTCTCTTAAGAACTCAGAAAGGAAATCAAAATATACCTAGAAACAAATAATAATGAAAACCTGATGACCCCTAATCTGTTGGTTTTGAGACAGATGACGTTAAATCTTTTAGACTACTTTGGGTATTAGAGTCATTTTTAAAATGTTGATTCTTTCAGTCCAAGAATGGTATATCTCTCCATCGATTTGTGTCACCTTTGATTTCTTTCATCACTGTTGTATAGCTTTCTGAGTACAGGTCTTTTATCTTCTTAGGCATTTTATTCCTAGGTATTTCATTCTATTTGTGGTCATAAGTGGAATTGCATCCTTAATTTCTCGTTAGTGCATGAAAATGCCAGAGATTTCTGTGCATTAACTTTGCACCCTGCCATTTTACCATTTCATTAATTAGCTGCAGTAGTTTTTGGTGGCATCTTTAGGATTTTCTGTGTATATTATCATATCATCTGCAAACAGTGACAGTTTTATTTCTTTTAAAATTTTGATCCCTTTCATTTCTTTTTCTTTAATAATTGCCATACCAATACTTCCAAAACTGTGTTAAATAATAGTGGCATAATTGGACATCCTTCTCTTGTTGAACAATAGTGGCAAAAGTGGGCATTGCCCTGTCTTGATCCTGATCTTACAGGAAATGCTTTCATTCTTGTCATCATTTAGAATGATGTTTGCTGGGGCTTGTTGTATATGGCCTTTACTATGTTGAGGTAGACTCCCTCTCTGCCTTCTTTCTTGGAGATTTTATCATAAATGGGTATTGAATTTTGTCAAAAGCTTTCTGTGCATCTACTGAGATGATTATACTACTTTTCTTTCTTCAATTTGTTGATGCAGCATTATCACCCAGATTGATTTACAGATGTT